AAAACGAACGCAAAATATACATCAAAAAATCTTAACTTTCCCAGTTGTATTTTGCAGTAACACCAAACAATATTTTGAAATTACACATAATAGATCCTTTGCGAAAGTCTAATGTTATTACCCTGTGCTTTTTGAAATTTCAAATAACTATTTAGTGGAAAAATTTACAGTCAAGAGCAAAAAATAATTGTGTATAATCAGGCATAGAATGGTTTTTTAATTATTGAATGCATATTGCAGCATTTGGTGATGTCATTTAATTTAGGTAAAAGTCGACAAAAAACAAATATGTAAGTACAAAAAATAAAAATTATATGCTTCAATTTTAATTTAGGATCACTGAGAAAGTTAAAAGATAAAAGTGGAGGATTTCAATCGGTACGCTATCACTTGTTTGTGTAGAGAGATTTTGAAATCACACCAAACAGATCTGTAGCATGGCCAAAATTTAAATTAAGTATTTTATATATAAAATTTGTCCAAAAATATATCCCAAGCTTAAAAAATAAATTCATAAACGAAATACAATACTAACGTTAATTGACATAAAAAGAACTGAACTATCTTTTATCATTGAGGAAGCATAATTTGAAAAATGATTACAATCTTAAGACCACTCCGCTTCCTCGACACATTTCAGCTATCTGTCTGTTTTGCTTGTTCCTGATGCCTATTCTAAAATTGACGAGGAACTATCCTCGCACTGGTTTTGCATGGTCATGATGCATCTAAGTTCATTTTTCTGCGGTACAATTTTATGGCCAAAAGCCAATTGACCGCACTTAAAAAGGTTAAACAAAATCATATGAAATTTTCAAAACAGCTTTTGAGTGGTCTTTGGTATCCTAATTCCTTTGGGGGCCCTTTTTCAGATATATGAGCAACTATGTTAGTGGGACCATAATAACTTGGGAGTATTCTGTTAACAAAATATATTTATATTATAAATGAGTGTTTTTTCTTTTTTTTTTTTTTTAATTAGACTGAGCCACAGGAATGTGTGGCTGAGTTCAGCTTAAATGTTAAAAAGCTATAATGTTAAAGCTTAAGTAACAAACTTAAATGTTAAAAAGCTCCATAAAAATTAAAGTTCAACATTTGATAAGATCAAACTGTTCCAAAGGTACTTTTACAACTATGTCAATCCCGGATTTTGTACGTGGCGTACACGGTGAATTGGCAAGCATGTGCTTCTTTCTATATAATGTTGCCAATACGGTTTCGATAATATATAAATATCACAGCAAACACAAAATATACATAAAAAAATCTTAATGATCCCATTTGTATTTCAGAGTAATATCAAATAAAATGCTGAAATCAAACAAAATAGATCCTTGCGAGTCTAATGTTGTTGTTCAACTTTTAGAAATTTCAACAACTACTCAGTAGGAAAAATTATAGCTAAGAGCAAAAAATATTATTGTGTACAAACAGTCATATGTTTTTCCTTAGTGAATGCATGTTAGAAGCCTTTTAAGTATGTCTTTTTTGATTTTAGGTAAAAGAAGTCGACTAAAACAACATAAGAACGAAAAAAATAAAAATTTTCATATATTAATTAGTTTAGGATCACTGAAGAAAGATAAAAGGATAGGCATTTCACCTGGTACAGTAGTTCTTTTGTGGAGAGATTTTGGAATCACGCCAAACAGATCTATAGCATACAGAACTAAAATTAGTATTTTAAAAAATAAAATGTATCCAAAAATAAATATCCCTGAGAGCTTAAAATTAAAATTGATAAACAAAATACAATACTAAAGCTAATTGACATAAAAGAACTGAACTAACTTGATCAACTCCAAAAGCATAATTTGAAAAAAAATAATTACAATCCTGATGACCACCTGGTTCCTCAACACGTATTTGAACCATCTTTTTTTGCTTGTTCGTTGATGTTTATTCCACCTGACGTGGAATTATCCCTCTCACTGCTTTTGCGCAGCTAGTATCATGCACCTGTCTGTTGATATTTTGCAAAGCAATTTTTATGTACTGAAACCGATTAACTGCACTTAAAAAGGTTTACAAAAACATATGAAATTGCAAAACAGCTCTGAGTGGCCTTGTATCCAAATTCCTTTGAGGCCTTCTCTGATAAAATAAGCGGAAAATTTCAATCGGTACGCTACTCGCAATTGTGGAGATCACGCGGCCAGTCTCGAGTTATCAAAACTGCAACTATTTTGGCAGAAAATAAGTAGAGAGTATAGTATAAGTAGATAAAATAAATAGAATCTTCTATCTTCGCTAATAAAAGAGAAATAAATCAGCTTTAAAATTATATAAAGAAAACACGATAAAATATAAGCAAAATCGTAAACATCGCGCTGATAATGTTATCCGATTGGTGCCAAGCAAAACCAACAAAACAAAAATTTGAATTGTTAAAAGAATAATTTTAGAAAAACTGGATTTATTAGAAAATAATCCTAATTACGTATCAAAGAACGAAAAAATGTATAAAATATATAATCAACGGACATAAATTATAGTAAAATATGTATTAATCACGAAAACAATGCGTGTAAAAGTATAAACTTCGCATTCAGAGAGAATCGTGACATCATATGACTTCATAACACTGGAAAATCATTTAAAAAATTAAATTTAAAAAAATTTAGAAAGAATTATGAAATAATAAGTATCTAGAACCCGTCTGATTCAAATGCAAATGCTTTGTCAAAATTTCAGAGGAAATGGTCCATTAGTTTCGAGATTAGCGGCTTTGGAACAAACACACATTACATTTTTATTTATATAGATTATAGTTCCTATTTGAAACAATTTTTATTAATTATTACAACATCATTTTGAAATAAAAACAAATTTGCTCGAAAAGGTAATTACATTTATTACACTAACAACGACACATTTATATATATATTTCATTTTACAAATAAATATATCACCAAACGCAAATGAAACAAACTGCAGACATTTAAAGAAAATTTAAGATATCTAAGGAATTAAGGTATTACAAAATAATCTTAATTAAGATATTTAAATCTTAAACTTTGTGCACTAAAAAAATCATATCTCTAATAAATTAAATTTTAGGATACACAATGCAACACACTGAAAATCAAATGACACACTCTACAACATAGAGTTACAAAGTATCAGAAGATTATTTTAAGAATTGTTTTTATACAAGTACAACTATCACACAATATTATTAGTAAATAAAATAAATGTACTGTTTAATAAGATAACTGGAATGAAAAAAAATTGATTTTACCATTGAATTTTTCGCCAATAATTTGAAAAAACAGATAGTATTTAATTTAGTTCAGCTCGTATTATAGTATAAAAAGCAATAATCACAAACTATTATTTAAAATTTCAGATGAATTTTGTATTACAGACGATTTAAAACATGATTTTTTGAAAAAAAAAATGCTTTGTACAATACACATGTGTTATTTACAAGTATATTTAGAGGTACACATATATATTAGTCTTCAAAAAATGTGATAAAATATACATTTATAAGAGAGAAAACAACTAATTTCGATAATTAAAATACTAACTGACTTATATAAATACTATATATATACTGACTGTTTTCTCTATTCTAATTATACAGATTTCTATAATTTTATTAAAAGCATTTGGCAAAATAATGAAAAAAATAAAAATCCCATGCATAAAATGTGCTTTAGATATTTATTAAAAAAACTCACATGCCCCCTCCCCCAACCAACCGCAATCTTGTATTTTTTCTCGGCGACTGGTCATTTCCCAACAAATATCGTTGCAAACCACGGCTAACGAAAAAGCATAATAACTATCTGAAAGTGTAAACAAAGAACAAAAAAAAAAAGTTGGACTTTGCAAAAGTTAAGTCCAGACAAAAAAAAGGGGAAAGTACTTTTTTCGAACATTAAAATTCCACTCAACAATAGAACAGCGTAAACCTAGGGCCCCAACAGCCTTTTTGTCCCCATCTTGGAATTTTCCGAAATTCACTTATTTAAGAACATTGCATTAAAAATTAGGTGGGAAATTCTTTGTCAAGGTATCAAAATTATCAACTTTTTTTTTTGTCTGTGTCGTACGGTTACGAAATGATAATCTTTTTTCCATTTGGAACAGTTACGTTTAGTGTTAACAGACAAAAGTGGAGTAGCAACAATTTTATGGGTGAAACTGATTAACACCTTTTTATAAGCTTCACTTGTATGTAACGGAATCTTTGAACTCAATTTTTACCCACTTTAACCCTCTCGCTGCATAGTGCTCGCCCGATACGTGTCTTTCCCCTGGGAACGCGGGGTGCGCAGAGAGGTTAAAATGTCAGATAATTTGAAATTTTGCCCCTTGTTGGGGTAGAAAAAAATTGCAGATATCAAAAAATTAAATTACAATTATTAATATTTATTAGTCAAAACATTAAATTTTATAAGAAAATTTCAAGTGCAGAACACTTTTGGCCCACTGTTTATGTAGAACGCTGCTCTCGTGAAATGATATCCGTATATTAAAATTGCTATAAAATAATCCCTGGTGTGATTATTTCTTGAACCTGCTTGTTGTACCGCTGTGAGTTCAAAAAGTGGATAAGTTATTTTAATTTTTCATCACATTCCTAGAAATAAAAAAAAAAATACCTTTTAATTTTTTTTTTTTTTAAATTCTTATAAATCATTACATTTTTGAAGTTATACTTCTTTTGGGGCGTTAGAGAAATAGGAAGATGCTTTGTCTAGAAACATACAGAACGTTACAGATCATTGCTGCCTTCGAAACTCTCAGTAAAATATTTTTCTTCACCTCCCTGAAAAGAAGGGGATACCCGGGTTTGTAAAGGAGACCTTTCAATCTGCAGTCAAATACTTTACCCCTGAACTATACACCCGCGTCATCGAACCTTTGCTTTGCGTTTCGTAGGAACGGTTACCAAAATGCTTTGTCTAGAAATATACAGAATGGAACAGATCATTTGCCGCCCCTTCGAAATTCTCAAAAAATATTTCTCTTCACTTCCCTGAAGAAGAGGACACCGGGTTTGAACCGCGCGCGGGGACCTTTCGATCTGCAGTCGAATGCTCTACCACTGAGCTATACCCCCGTGTCAGCGAACCTTTGCTTTCCGTAAGAACGGATTCGAAAATGCTTTGTATAGAACAGGGATGGCAAACCTTTTTCAGACGTGGGTCAAATTGTGTCAAAAATTTTTTTAGTACTATCTCGCGGGTCACTAACACCTCTTTGCACACCAGAGTTAAGTTTAAATATGTTGGTATTGAGGTTATTGAGGTTTAAAAGTTCTTTAGTTCAAATATGTAATAAGTGTTTGAATGAACAAGGGAAGTAATAGAAAATTACATACAATATATATATTACGAAATCTATTTATTAGTATATATATTCGCATAACAAAATTGATTATAAAGTATTTAATGAGAAATCTATTTGCTGTTTTATTTTCAGATAGTTTTTAATATTAGGTTTATATTTCGTATTCATAAGTTTAACGCAATTCGCAGTTCCCTGTTAAGTCTATTTCTATTAGAATATTTTACAAAATTCATAGAATAAACAATTTTTCACACGAATATGTGAAAAGCATTAAAAAAAGCATTAAAGCGTTAAAAAGCATTAACTAGTTGTTTCATTGATATAAAATTATTCGGTAAACAATCCTATGCGTTTAATATAATATTTTCAATTTTTATTGTGGGATCAATATTATCTGCATTAATTTCACATAATTTTTCTTCTACTTCAAAAATCACGTTTTCAAATTTTGTTTTCCACACTACGCTGCCTCAAAAATTTACACTTATTCAATTCCTAAATTATCGATACCTTGCCACATAAATTTGGATAACTCCATTGTTTCAAATTCTCTTTTGTATGGATATAAAATTAAAGTGGGAAATGCTTGCTTTCCATACTTTTAAATTGATTGAATCTCTCCTCAAAAGCTTGCTTTATATTTACTGCGCAATCATTAAATATTTTTTAATTGCATTTGCTTTAATGTCAACGGAGTTTTCAAGAATTATTGTGTTTAGATTATGTTTTTGTAATTTTAATTTAAAATATTTCATGATTTTTATTTTCAAAGCCTTAGTAAAGATGCCAAGTTTTGTTATAAATATTTTAATATTTTCAAACATCTTTTAAACAATTAGTTCATGAATTTGAATTTTTTCATTCAGTTCATTAAAATGCTGGGTGATGTAGCATAAAAAGATTAAGTAATTTAACCAATGTATATTGGATAATTCGTCGAAACTATTGTCTTTTTTAATTAAAAAGAAACTTAATTTCTTTTAAAAACGTTACAAAGCGATAATGGATTAGACCGGAAAGACGAGTAAACCATCGCATGTTGTATGTCAAAATTCTGAATCCAGCATTCACTTTTAATAAGAATTATGCAAATTGCCGTTTATAAAAAGCTCTTGCATTTATAAAGTTGATTATTTTTATTTTCAGATATTACACTGAAAAATATAATGCTTCACACATAAAACTTGCTGATGTATTATACAATGAAATTCAATCAAAGAATGTGAAATATTTTGCTTAAGATACTGAATAAATCCAAAGTTTTTCGCTATCATACAAGGTGCACCGTCCGTTGTTACAGAAACTATTTTCTAAAGGTCAATATCCATTTCTTTAAATGTTACATCAAATTCTTTAAAAATATCAAGACAAAGTACACTTCCTTTCAATGTTATTAGTTTATTAGGTCTTCTTTCCTTATATATTTTTCATACTTACTTGAGCAAAAAACTGCTAATTGTGTGCATAACCATTTATAACATTATTCTCATCTAAAGCAAATGAATACACATTTCTGCATAATTTAAGTCGTTATGTACTTGTGAAAAAATATTTTTTCTAATTCTATTACTCGATCTTTATATTGCGACTTATAGGCAACTCATTTATACGCTTTATAATCAAGACTTTTCTTTAAAATCATCAAACAATGTAGGACTACATTCTAAAAACGCTTTTTTACAAATTTTTCTCCTGGAAGGGTTTCCGTGGCGAGCAATGCAATGGGCAGCGGAAACTAGCCGCTGTAATGTTCTTTTTGGGAGCCGAAACTTTACTTACTTCTTTGAAAAATTTCCTTTTCTCTTTGTAAAAGATACGTTTCTTTCTTCATTTGACATGCCGAAATTAGAATGTAATGTTTCAAATGCCTTTTACATTAAATGTACGTAGAAGTTACTTTTTTCATTAAAATTACATATATAACTATTTTATACCTTTCACTCAAACTATTGAGCTTGATATATCCTGGAAATTGTTGCTATGTGTTTTGAGGTAAATCATTAACCGATATTTTATAATTAATAAAATTTTAACAACCAACGCAGTACAGGGCTACAATTAAAAATACAGTTGGACCCCGATTTAAAGATTTTTTTCTTCTTTCCGATTAAAATGGAGACAAACCCCAATTTAACGAATATTAAACCCTGAATTAACGAATTATTTCAACAACCGAGGAACATTTTTTTCATTAGTTTAGATTTGAAAAAAATAGTACTTTTCAAATGACACACACACACATCCCTTTTGCCCGGAACAGAAAAAGACTTTTCTTTGTTAGTAGCAAATTTTGACAGAGAAGTGTTTGCCCTTTATTTGACTTTACAGGTGTAGATGAGTCAGGAGTGTGATCTACCGTGTGAATTTTGAATACTACAGGAAATTCCATCATTTCCATCTTACTGCAGAGAACGCAGGAATATTTTAAGAGATTTTAATATTTGCTCTCTTTCCTGAGAGAAATGTTGTTAATTATACGTGATTTTGTTTAAAATTTTATTTTTGAAAATTTGTTAAAGCATTCAGATTATCAAAACCAAATGCGTGGGATATTTTGCAGAAGCTTGATAATGAAACTTCTATCAAAACTGTTACATTTTTCTAAACCTTTGTATTGTTTGTAAACTGTGAAAACATACCTCATATACAGCAGGATGTAAAAGGATGCAAAGTATTTTCTTCTACTCTGCATAAAAAGTCAAAAAATTTAACATTGATTAGTCAATATTTTTGACATTTTCAATTAACTGGTGCTTAATAAATGGCAAAATAGTATTTTTAACTGCTGAATAAAAGCGTAATTTCTAACAGGATTCCATATAGTTGCTTATGGAATTTTCAAAGGTAAATTTAAAAAAAAGATTGCAGTTTTTGAACTCCGATATTACGAATAACTGATTTAACGAAAATATGCTCACTCCGTCAAATTCGGTGCGGCTAATATTTATATTTAGAATGCAATACTTTGAGAAGAATTTTTCTTTTGTATTGACATACATAATATACACACTTCAATACATATTACTTTTAAAAGCGTTCGAAATGGATGCCACTAAGTTCAACACTGGTTCTCACTGGTACAGGTGCACCTTAAATTGCGAGCCATAAATTATTAGTATCGAGAATAACAGACATACGCATTACACACATTGGCCCCTCATAAAGTGAAACAGAGAGGGGACGATACAAATGCTGTAGAAGTATCTTTGTACAAACATAATTGAACATAACCTTACAAAAGGGCACTTTATCCGAAGAAAGTGCTTTAAATATGGTTATTTGCTTTAGTTCATAATTTTTTTAAACAAGGTTTTGGGAGTATACGGCAATTTTATGAAACTGGCTGAATAAGCGTATATATACGTTGTTTATGCGTTTGCGTAGGCATGACAATCGAGCTGAGAGAAGCGACGAGACATTTAAATTTCTTTTGTGTCAATCCAGTGCTGGAAAAATTAGAAATAGAAAATACATAATAAAAAGAAATTAGAATAAACTAAATAAACCCGTATTAACAAAGAAGTGGTTGCCTAGCAATAGAGGGTCAGTTAAAAAGCTTACGTGGGTCAGTGTCTGACCCACGGGTCATAGGTTCACCATCACTGGTCTAGAAATATACCGAACGGGACAGATTACTGCCGCCTTCAGGAATTCAAAAAAAGCATATTTCTCTTCACTTCCCTGAAGAAGAGGACACCCGGCTTTAAACCTAAGACCTCTCGATCTGCAGTCGAATGTTCTACCACTGAGTTTTCCCCCCCTCGTGTCAGCGAACCTTTGCTTTCCGTAGGAAAGGATTTGAAAAAATAGCATCACAGAAGTATACAGGGCAAGGACAGATCATTCACCGCCCTTCGAAATTCACAAAAAATATTTTTCTCCGCCCTTCCCTGAAGAAGGGGACACCTTGGTTGAACCGGGAACTTCTCAATTAGCAGTCGAATGTATTGCGTTACTCTGAGCTTCTACTGATGCATTTGTTTGAGGAACACTTTTTGTTATTAAAAACCAAACATACTTACAGGGAAATTAAAAATTAGTAAATTAATCTTTAAATTGTTTCATGTACATAAAACATAAGAGTAAATATTAGTTTACCTATTTAAATAACAATTGCAAGTACATGATTATAGATATATATACAATGTGATGAACATAAACACATTTACTACATTGTAGCAAATTATAAGAGCCTTTTGTGCGTGTGTATTCGTATATTTATTTTTGAAGTTTTCCTTCTTTTTGGGCGTTAGGGAAAAAGGATGGGGGTAAATTTTTACGATTTTAAATTTTTACCTTCACGACACCAATGCGCGCGCGCACACCGTTGTCTAATATTTTAAAATGCCACTTTTTTGGTGCTATGGGACTGATATTTAGGGGATCATAATAACTATCTCTATAAACAATATCAGTTGGGACGCATCCCCCTGTGCATTCCCCTCTACAACAGCTAATATATTCAGCACCCTGGGCCTCACGATTACTAGGGCCTGCCTCAGTCCGTCTCTCTCTATCTTCTCTCTTTAGTTATTATAAGGGTCACATGCTCATAGGGCTATTTTATTTTTGAATTTTTTAAAATTCACAATATCTTAGCTCCTGTTCGAGTCTCGGACTTGAATTTGAATCAAGTAGTCCCACTCGTCGAGACACATCAATCATCTGCTTCATTTCACACTGTGCTTAGGCATGAGGGAGGGGCTTAAAAGCACTAAAATATCATGTTCCCATGTTAATCCTATGTGGAATGGAAAATATTTCACACCC